GTAAAGGATTAGTGAAGACTGCACAATCCAGTCAACCACACAGACCCCTTAAAATGTTTCTTTGCCCACATACCTTTCTTTTTTTAATATCAGAACGTTTACTGCAGAGTAAGCATTGAAATTCTTAAAATGAGCTGAATGCTGCAGCAGCTGCCCTCCTGGTTGAGGTGCTGTTCCTTCATGGAATCCGTGCGTGAATCTGTGGTGGACAATCTTTAGGTGCCTCATACGAACAGTACTGGTGGTATTTTGCCTGTTAGCCTTGACATTCCACTTGTACTTTCTCTTGCGCTTGGCAGGGTGGCCACACTTGCCACAGGTGGACTCCTGGAGGGGCTAGGCCTTGGGGCCACAGCAGCGGCACAACGTGTACATCCTATTGAGATGCTTTCCAAACGATGACGTTGCCTTTTTCATCTTGCTTCTGAGGCTGAGACCAAAGACCCATGTGCCTTTCAATCCTCCCGTATGATCCACAGATTTGCAGATACTCTGAGGTCATTGCTGCCAAAGGATGACTGTGCATTTACTAATCAGTCAGTCAGCTAACAGGCCAGGTCCTGTGTGCAGGGTGCTGGGGCCAGCGAGTTTCTTCTTCCTTCTGGGTCCGGTTAAGGGCACGTTACTCAGACCACTTTCCAAATTGCTGACCAGAGAATGACTAGCTTGGAAGTTCTCGGAAATCACTCTTGATTTCATTTCTGCCATCTAGGTGTAGAACACTATAGATCAACTTGAAATATGTGTTCCTTTCTTGTCCTTTCAAGGTGATTGCAGATTTGCTGGTACCCAAGTGCATGTGCAGCCTAAGAAGAGGCTCTAAGTGCTGTGACTTGGGCTGATGACAGCCCATTTACTTAGTGTGCTTTTGCACAGAACAGGCATTTGATCAGGCCTTAAGTATTGAGACCAGAAATGAGATCAACAGTATCAGGCAGGTAGAATGGACATTTAAATAGAATCATATTAAAAATGTAAATGAGACATTGTGCCACCTTTCTGTCCCCAGACATCTTTAAACCCTTCACTGACGGCCCGTTTCAGTGGTAACAAGCTCCTTGTTGGGCATCGGAAGGCCTTATGATCTGGATCTTGTTTACCTTTTAGACTCACTTGTTAACTACTTTTCCCTTTACTTATTCTGCTTCACGGAGCTCTGGGGGCTTATTATTAAGGAGTTGCACTTCCAAGCCCAAGGAGGTTTGTTGAAATATGTCAGCTGCTCCATAGGAAAAAGATGGCCAGTCTCCTCCTGTGTGATTTACAGTCTCCGACAACCCCTGGAGGGTCAGCTATGGGTTGGTTCCTACCTGATGGCACCTAACACCGCCACTGCCACCACCGCTGATATTCCGCTCCAGGGAGCTCTGACTGGCAGAGACAGTAGGGAGTTGTGATATTAACTCAAAGGTTGTGCCTCCTCTGGCGGTTCACATCCACCAGCAGCTGCTTGGAAGAAAGAGGAACAGTCTCATTGTATGTGATTTACAGCCTTTGGAAACCTGCTGGCAGGTCAGCCATGGGCCCAGATGGACTTGGAAGCAGTGAGTTTGAGCATTCTGCTTCAGTCACACTCACCTTACCTCTGTTCTTTGACTATCCCGGATGTGTTCCTTGTTTGTCCCCACTGTTCTCTGTGCCTTTACAGCTTCCCTTTCTCCTGTTGTTGTTGTTGTGAGGTGCTGTTGAGTTGACTGTGACTCATAACAACCCTGTAAACAACACATCAAAACATGTCCCTGGACCTTCTCTTTACTTGACTTTTCTTGTCATTGAAGTTTTGTCTCCAAACAACTTGCCCTCATTGCACCCCCTAATGTTGTGCACTCCCACCTAAGTTACTATCTTCTCTTTTGTTGTCATTGTTAAGTGCCCTTGAGTATGACCTTATGAATAATAGACTTGATCTCTACCCTCTCCTGCACAATCCTTATCATCCTTGACACTTTGAGTCCATTGCCACAGACACCGTTATCAATCCATCTCATTGAGGGTCTTCCTCTTTTTCACTGACCCTTTACCTTTACAAGCAAGATGTCCCTTTCCATGGAATAGCCTCTCTTAACAACATGCCCAAAATATGTGAGACAAATCCTCACTGTCTTTACCTCCTAGTAATATTCTGGTTGCACTTGCTCTCAGACATATCGGATTGTTCCTTTGGCAGTCTGTGATATTTTCAACACTCTTTACCACCACCACAACTCAAACACATCTATTCTTCTCCCGTCATCTTTATTCATTGTCCAGCTTTCAGATGCATAACAGGTAATTGAAAAGACTGTGGCTTGAATTAGACAGACCTTAATTTTTAAACTGACATCATTGCTTTTCAGTACTTTGGGGAGATCCCTGACAGCACTCATTACTGGTGCTCTGTCTCCTGGTCTCCTAAATGTTGGTACCGAAGGTGTTGACTATGTGATTCAAGCATGACAAAATCATTGACAATTCCAAGCTTTTCTCCATCTTTTGTGAAGTTGCCTATTGGTTCATTGGTGAAGATTTTTATTTTCTTGATGTTGAGATGTAATCCATTTTGAAGGATGCAGTCTTTGATCCACTGCAGTAAGTGCTCTAGGTCCTCCTCACTTTCAGCAAGCAAAGTTGTGTCATCTGCATAATATAAGAGGTTGATAAGCCTTCCTTCATCCTCATGTCACATTCTTATTCTTCATAAAGTCCAACTTCTTGAATGATTTGGTCAGTAAAAGTAAAGATTGAAAAGATGTAGAGAGGATACAACCCTGACACACGCCTTTCCTGGTTTTGAACCATGCAGTGTTCCCTTGCTCTGTTTGGACAACAGCTTCTTGGTCAAGGCATAGACTTCTTACAAGAATAATAAATTGTCTGGGATTCCCATTCTTCTCATGGTTAGCCATAGTTATTCATGAGCTGCACAGTCAAATGCCTTTGCATGGTCAATAAAACACAAACCTGGGTCTATTTTTTTCTTGTCTTCTGTTGTCATCTCTATCTTATTTGTGTTTGTGTACTTTTTTGTCCCTTCCTTTTGTCCTGCCCTGAGGCGTGCAAGCTTCATGAAGATATCTTCAGTCTGAGCAGTGTGTGTTATATACCCAATGTATGTTACATTCCTACTCAGAAAGCCAGCCGGGCTTGGCAGATTGCTCATAGGCTTTCCAAAGTTGTCAACAGTAAGGAGCTGCGCTACTGATTCAAAGGCATGCAGTTTGAATCTACCAGGTGCTCCACAGGAGGAAGATGGGCAGTATCCTCCTGTGTGATTTATAGCCCCTTTGTTGAGCTGACTGTGACTCATAACAACCCTATGAACAACAGATCAAAATGTCTCACAGCATAATCTAGCCTCAGCTGAACTCATTTGGTGGCAAAAACATGACCTCAACTGTTAGGAGGCTATTTATAGTCTGTCTTGCTATAAATCAAAACTTGCTGGAGGGTTAACTATGGACCATTCCAACTTAATGGCCCCTAACACAACATACAGTGATCTCCATAGAAAAACATAGTGAATGAGTGAGTGCAGAATGACTGGAAGGAAGGACGAGTTGTCTTTGGGTGAACTGGCCTCATAATTGGTTGTTTTGGAAGGGGTAGGAATGCCCTTAGTTCAAGGGAGAAAGGAGGAACAAACTCCTCAGGTCTTGTACAGCTGCATTTTGTGTTTAGCCATTTGTCTACCGAGGCAAGGAGGACTTTTCGAGAGAAGTCTTGACTGCTGGTTTTTTTCCTGGTAGGGGGCGATAAAAAGGAAGTGAGTTGATTTTCTGCCCCCAGTCTTTGGGATCCCACCCTTTCCCAGTGAGTGGGTAAAGGTGGGAGGACAGCTGAGGTTATAATAGCTCATTAAATCTCGATAATCGTTTGCACATGCAGTCGCTCTGGGACAAATTGCATGCAAGAGTTCCAAATCTTGCCTCAGCAGTTGCATTACTAGCAAGCAAGAGTTGACAGCTGTTGCTGATTAAAACATTTCCAAAATTGCACGAGTGAGATGCTAAGTGTGGAGAGAAACAGCCTTTATGAATGCCTTTACATAATCCCGTTGCGTGATCGCTAGTCATATTAATACCTAGAGTTGGAAAGCACTTTGCAATCATGAGTGAGGCATTCCACAGAGCAAACTTTGAGTGAGAGACAGCCTCAGGGACTTGCCTTTCTCAGGCAAGGAATTAGGAACTTCAGGGACATGCTTATTTGTATCCAGAGTCTCTTCTAGTTGTCTGGGTATCTAACTTTTCATCTAGGCATCTCCTTGGATGGAAACATGCAGCCACCATTCCAGGAATCCTTTTTGATGAATCTCTTTGTCTTCTCTCTAATTCCTTACTCTTTATCACAAGGTATTGAGGTATGATTACTAGGAATGCCTCCTGGAAGTAGTTAGCAGTGACATTCATGTCAGATGATGTTATTGCATCTGTCTGTGAAGGAAGAAAAACAAAGTAACAATTCTGTACCCATAGACTTCAAATCCCAAACCCCTTAGAAGCCCAAGGTCTTCACAACATCTCACAGCATAGTGTAGCCTCAGCTGAACTCACTTGGTAGCAAAAACATGACCTCAACTGTTAGGAGGCTATTTATAGTCTGTCTTTATTCTAGTTAGAGACAAACCTCATACTTTTTGCTTTAGAAATATGAATGTGTTTGCTTAGGGGTGTTGATCCAGGCTTTGCTGAGGGGGTTACATACAGTGCACTCTATAAAGATATATAAAAATGTGATGCCTTCTGAATTCTAAAATAGACTCAGCACCAGGAATTTTGAAGAAGGGATTATGGATCTGTAATGCAGTGTGTGTGGAAGGGCGAAGGTGTGAAGAAACAACAATATCAATGGGGATAGAGGGAAGAGCAGCTTTCCATTTCCTCCAGGGAGGGAGGGTCTCCAGGATCCATCATCCTGGTTTCTGCATCCTCTGCTCCATATTGATGCCACTGCTTCTTAATGTTGGTAGCTGCCCATAAGTTTGTATTTTTTAGCTGAAACAATTTTTTGTTGTTTTGTAGTGATGGGCTTTGGGATGGACCCTGACCTTCAGATGGATATCATCGCTGAGCTGGACCTGGTGAACACCACTGCTGGCGTCACTCAGGTGCCTGGACTTCATAATGCCAGCAAGGCATTTTTATTTCAAGGTAACTACACTTCTTGTTTTGATTGTGGGTGGCGGCTGGGGAGAAGTGTTCAGAGGAGGGCGTGTGTGTGTGTGTGTGTGTCTGTGTGTGAACATTTTTGCTACTTCTCTTGCGTTATTGCCTTGAAAAGTGCTCAGAAGTGCAGTGCCCCTTCAAATATTCAAGTTGTATTCAGAAGGATGCAGATGGCAGTGGAAGACAAGGTGGTGAAATTGTTTGGAAGAGGAATACTACCCTGAAGACATTGGTGGTGAGATGAGTGAAATGAAATTGCTAAGCCATTGAGAACCACTGACCATCATACTATGTGTACAGAACATTTCTTCATATAACATCTGTGCCTTTGTCTAGGAGTCCTGGTGGAGTGGTGTCTTATGTGTTGGGCTGCTCACCAAAAGGTCAGCAGTTTGAATACACCAGTTGCTCCAAGTGAGAAAGATGGGCTGTCTCCTCTTGTATAGCTGAACAGCTTGAGAAACCTGATGGAAGGAAGCTATCATGAATCAAGATTGACGAGAAGCCATTGCTTTTATTTTATTTTTTATCTGTATCTGTATTTCAGTTAGGGAGCTCTGTGGTCTTAGTGGTAAGGAATTGTGTTACGATCCAGAGGTATGCAGTTCGAACCCAGTGGCTATTCCATGGGAGAAAAATGAGCAGTCTCCACTTGTGCAATTTACTGCCTTTGAAAACCCACTGTAGAGTCAGCTATGGGTTGGTTCTGACATGACGGAACACAATAACCACCACCTGTCCATTGATGGCTAGACTAGATAATAAAGACAGAGGTTGTATTCTGGTTGCATTTTCTCCTCGACGTGGTTGACTTAGTTTTGCCTTCTGGAAACATGACTGCGATTCATTAATCACTCAATGAGTGCTTAGAAAAGAGGAAAAAAAGAAAGAAAAAGCTTCAGTTCTCGTTCTCGTTGAGTGGTGAGCTGGGCATATGAGGCTGTAAAGCGTAATGCGAGAATGCTGCCTGTCTTTCTCCCATTGAGTCGATGACGTGTTCGAACCACCGCCGTTTCAGTTGGCAGCACTGCACATTTTGCACAACACCATTAGATGAAGTATAATCTTTAAACAGTTTTTAAAAATATGAAAGCTGGAGCTTGATGGCCTAGAATTGCAACCCTGCTCCTGGCTCTGCCACATGTTCTCATTTATAACCATCACATCTACCTTACAGAAATGTTCCAGGCATTAGAAGATCAACACACATATGATTCTTGAATTACAATTGCTATGCTTAATACAGGGATGTAAAAGTTGCCAAGTAAGTGTTTTGCTATGCCTTCTGCTTTAACTGGGGGAGGGGATGTTGATGAGAAGGGAATGCCTATTCTGATAAAATGATATGCTAGTCAAAACCTGAAAAAGGAAAACCTAGTGTAGGAACGTGTAATAGTGGACTACTCAGAATGTTCCGGCAGAGGGAAGGCTTGTGTCAAGGTCTTGGTTGAAAGATGTCCAGCTAGATGATGCAGAAATCTGTAGACAGAAGTGACATGCAGCTGTTGCATACAGGTTTGCCTGGACTGATGATACATGACCCACGTCCATTCTGGTCGCTGAGTAGCCACTTCCTTTTGTTAGCGAGCCTAAGTATAGCCTGTACCTGTCGGCTACATGAATGGCTTTGCACTTGACTCTCAGAGCACTGCAGGCCTTTGTGGAGGTTTACGCAGGGCAGTGTCCACATCAGACACTGTAGTGAAGCGGTCTGGCCAGTGCTCTCTGAAAGTGACTGGCAGGGTTGGGTTCTTTGAACTCAGCCTTTTGTGAAGAAACCAAAGGATGACTTTGGAGTGACTGAACTGACATGATGGGATGGATTCACGTGTGCACTGTGAAAATAATTGAACTATGTCGGACTTAGCTGCCATCCAGTCGGCCCTGAGTCGTGGCTGCCTCATGTGGACAGAGTAGAACTGCTTTGTAGCACTTTTAAGCCCATGATGCTTCTGAAGCAGATCACCATGCTGTTCTCTGGGTACCCCTAGGAGGGCTTGAACTGCCAACTTGTTGGTCAGTAGAACTTACCATTTGTGCCAGCTAGAGATTTCCAACTTAAGTCTAGTTAAAGATAGATAGGATCTCTGATGGCTTAGTGGTAAGGAATCAACACTACCCAGTGAAAGGTATGTGGTCTGAATCCACCAGCTTCTCCTGGGAAGAAGGATAAGCAGTCTCCTCCCGTACGATTTACTGCCTCTGAAAACATACTGCGGGGTAAGGTGCATGTCAATTCTTATTCCATTGTACACAACAACAACAACCAAGATATATAAGGAATCTGCAGATAATAACACGTGCATGACAACATCCAGGCTGATTTCCACTCTATTTCCCTCCTGAGGAACTGAAGTATGCCAGCTAGGCATGGTCAGAAAATGCAGCCTAGATAACTTTTCTCTCTGTCTCTGTAATCATTGATTGTCTGTGTGGTTCTTGATCTGAAATAGACTGCCGACACTTGGTTAACAGCATTGCTGTGGAAGCTTGGCTGGCTTATAAGCTTCCCCAAGGGAGGAGAGGTTGCCTGTCTACATCACCTGAGATCCCAGGGCTGAGCATTGTGTAGGGCACAGAGCAAAGTAGCTTATTAATAAAAACATATTTGGATGCTTACATTTTCGGCTTTGAAAGGATTACTGTCCTTCCCCCTACTCTCACTGTTCGTTTAATCCTTTGGGGAGCTATGGTTGCATATGGAGCTGTGTTGCTAAGCCAGAGGTGGTACCTCTCCGGCAGTTTGAATTCACTGGCTGCTTCTTGGGAGAAAGATGATCAGTCTCCTCCAGTGCATTTTACAGTCACTGAAAACCCTCTGGGGGGCCAGCGGTGAGTTGGTTCAGACTTGAAGGCAATGTGTTTGAGTTTTTGAGGTTCATTCACTCGTCCATGTATTTTACCTGTGGCCTTCCTTGGCTGGGTTCTGCTCCATAATGGTTAGGGTTTCTGTTTCAGCTACTGCCTCTGGTCTATCTATCCAGATCCAACAGTGGGAAGGGACGTTAAGCTTCTTTTGGTGGAGGAGTGACTTCATGATGGGGTTTTGAACTGTGAAGAGCTTTCCTTTTAAAGGACCCTTGTGATGTCACTGGACCTCCTTGAAACATCCAGTGTAACTTCCCCATCTCAAAATTCATGTAGTCACATTTATAAAATATTTTTAATTATCTAAAGTGACATGTTCAAAGATTCTGTGCATTTGGTTGTGGTGATCTTAAAAACCCAACTACACCACTTGCCATCAAGTCGATTCTGATTCATGTGGCCCGTAGGCTGCAGGGTACACTGAGCTCTGTAGGATTTTCAGACTGTGATAATTTTCAGAAGCAGATAGCAATGTCTGTCTTCTGCAGTGCTTCTTCAAGAGTTTGAACCACCAGAATTTCAGTTTGTAGTTGAATGCTTCACTGTTTTTGCATTCTAGGGACTCTGTTGACCTCTTTTTTGCTTTTATTTCTTTTTTAAGATTTGTTAAATAAGACCAGAGTGATACTTAATGCTAATAGCTGGGAAAACTGACCTCATTATGTCAACTTGGAACTACCTGAGAGGCACCAACCTTGGGGTGTGAGTGCAGTTTCCTATAGGCTGTGCTACTAGAGCCAATTCTTCTTGTTCTGTACCATCGAATCAGAACCGGCTAATTATTATCTACAGTATAGTGAACGATTTCCCGTTGGTAAAGTATGACCCTTTGCAGACTTTGCCCATCCTCTCATGAAATACATTTTCTAGCCTTATTTGAGGACAAATGTACTATTCCTTACCTTGTCTTTATTCTGGATACTTACTTGTAGGTGATTCTTGTCTAATCTTGGATCGTAGACTATGTATTGATCAGCGCCGATCTGAACTCCTGAGAGAATTCCATATTATTCTATATTTCTCTTTCTGTGTGTGTTGTTAATTTTCTCTCATTGTATTCTTCCCTCTGAAGTCTAGCTGCCCGGGTCTCCCCCTACTCTCAGCTTCCTCTCCTCAACTCATGGAAACGGCAGGCTGTACCCGCCTCACCCTAGAAACTCTCTTAGGGCAGATGGAGTGCTTATAAGGTTCATATCTTTGTTCCCATCTCTTAAGAATCTTTACTTTTCATTGACTGATAATCATTGTCTTGAAAATTATTTTGAGAAGTCATTTTAAATTTAAATTCAAATTAACTATAATAACATTAAAAATTCAGTTCCTCAGTTATACTAACTGTATTTGAAGTGCTCAGTTGTCCTGTGTGGTTAGGGACCTACCACATCGAACAGTGCTAGAGAGAACTGGATTCGACCAGTTGCCTACAGCTCGGTTAATCTGGGCAGCCTACAAGGCCCTGTCTTCAAAGAGGAATGTATAAGAGTGACCAGCAGGCAATTTAACCTCTCCGCTTCAACATGCGTCTGTTTACTTGTTGGTATGACATGGAGTAATAATACTCGCCACATTATGAGGTTGTTAGGTGGTGGTGGGTTGGTTTTGACTCTAACCACTCACTCTACGTACAGCAGAACAAAATGCTACCTGGTCCTGCACCACCTTCACAATTGGTGCTGTGTGTGAGCCTGTTACAGCCTCTGCGTCAGTCCATCTCTTGTTGAGGGTCTTTCTCTTTTTTGCTGACCAAGCCTAATGATCCTATTTTTGCCAAGCTTGCTGTCCTTCTCCAGGGACTGAGTCTTCAGATAACATGCATTGTGGTGAGGATGAAATAAGTTAGCACATAGGAAGTTCCAGGACTATAGTTGGTATAGTTAAACTGCACATTTGAAAGTAGTGGAGTGTGTTCATATTGTTAAGTGTTGTCAGATCAGCTCCAGACTTGTCGTGACATTATACATGGAACTAAATGCTGTCCTGTATTCTATCAGCCCCACAGTCACTTGTGAATTAGATCATTATGACCGACATGTTGTTTGTTGCCTGTTTCTGTTTCTGGAAGTAGATTATCAAGTCTTTCTTCCATGAGGTATAACTGTGCCCCACACCCTACCCCC